CCTTTAGGGAATCAATCCATCTCGTATTTTGTCTTCATCTTTTCCTACTGCTTTCAACCTTTCCCAACATTGTGTTTTCCACAGAATCCTGCCTTCTCATTATGTGCCCAAGGTAGGACAGCCTCAGTTTCATCATTTTTGCCTCCAGAGATAGTTCAGGCTTGATTTGCTCTAGTTCCTGCTTGTTTGTCTTTTTGGCAGTCCCAGGTATCCACGAAACTCTCGTCCAGCACTGTATTTCAAGCAAATCATTTTTTTCCCCGTTAGCTCTCTGTACTGTCCATCTTTCACACACACAGATGGTGATTAAATTTCAAACAAATCATTTTTTTTTTCCTGTTAGCTCTCTGTACTGTCCAGCTTTCACACACACACAGATGGTGATTAGAAATATAATAGTATGGATGATCTTGGTCTTAATCTTCAGTGACACATCCTTACGCTTGATGAGCTTTTCTAATTCCTTCATTTCTGCCCTTCTGAGTCATAGTGCTCTTCTGATTTCTTGGCTGCAGGCTCCATTTAGATTGACGATTGAACCAAGGTATACAACATTTTTCACTATTTCAGTGTCTTCACTGTCAACATTACAGTCGTGAGTTTCTTCTGCAGTCATGATTTTCCTGCTTTGGCACTTCTTTCATTTTCACTAAAAGTCATTTCAAGTAATGCTTTCTGCTAAGATGGTGTCATCAGCATATCTTACATTATTGGTGTTTGTTCAACCAATTTTCACTCCTCCATCTGAATATAGTCTGCTTCGATATGATATGTTCTGCATACAAATTGAACAGATAAGGGGATAAAATGCACACTTATCTGACACCTTTGCCTGTAGGAATCCATTTTCTCTCTCCTTAGAAAGTAAAAAAAAAACTTTGTTGCAACACCTTGAGCATGATTTTGCTTGCAGTAACTGCATTCCTTGGCATCTCCTTGGGGACTGGAATGTGGTCCATATTTGTTGCCATATTCTTCTTAGGATTTTGACAGATTCAGCCTCTGTAGCTTGGAGTAATTCCATTGGTATTACATCTTTTGTTTGTTCAGTCGTTTAGTCGTGTCCGACTCTTTGTGACCCCATGGACCAGAGCACGCCAGGCCCTCCTATCTTCCACCGCCTCCCGGAGTTGTGTCAAATTCATGTTGGTTGCTTCGATGACACTGTCCAACCATCTCATCCTCGGTCGTCCCCTTCTCCTCTTGCCTTCACACTTTCCCAACATC